GGGAAGCCTGCTTCTCCCTCTCCCATTCCCCCTGCTTGTGTTTCCTCTCTTGCTGTGTCTCTCTCTGTCAAATAAATAAATAAAATCTTAAAAAAAAAAAAAATTGTCAGTTCTACTATATCCAAGGGCACTGAAGTTAAAAAACCACTGAGATATAAATATGAAATTAAAACTACTCCATCAGACATATAATGTTCTTTACTAATATAAATTCAAATACAATAAAAATCAATTCACTTTTATTAAGATCCAAGTTCTGTTTATATGTTAGGTATTATTTTTATATAAAAGATGTATTGAAGTCTACAATACAGTAATAATCTCATGAAAAAGAAACTTTTTCCATGACAAAAAAAGCAACAAATTTCCCAGAGAAAATGTTTATCCTAAGTAATCTAGAAAACACAACGTTTGAAAGTCTCTTATATTACTCTTGCCTATCACTTCTTGTTTTGTTACTTTTTTCCCTCCCTGAGGGAAGTCAATTGCTTCCTATACCATTGCCTGGAACATTGGAAATAGCATCTCAGAATCCCAAAGCTCAGAGGGGCTTTCTGTGGTGATACAGTCCATTTCCTCACCTCCAGACAAATGAAAACTAGACACATGTCCTATTCATTCAACATGAATTGAGCATCTATTTATGGCCCAGACACTGAGAATACAAAGGAAAAGAACACTACTCCTTATGCTCAGATTTCACACTTCATAACCTGATGCTATTGTTTAATGCTCTTGTCAAGTCCCCTACCATCTAATGTTCTCTGGAGACAGAGAATAGTCATGCACAAGTTTCCTGCTCCAATAACTTTATTTCCCTTTACTCAGCATAAAGAATTCAGTTGATCTATTCCTCAAACACAGTACTTACACCTTTATTTGGGGGAGAAGGGGCAGTTTCTACAAACTTTATTGAGGTTCTAAGCTCAGTAAGGGCTAGAACTATGCCTAGATCTTGTTCACCACTTTATATCTTGACTGAAACACAATAGAGGCTTAATAGGTATACTTTGAATGAATCTCTCTGATAACTAGAAAACACTACATGCAAACTGTAAACTCTTGAATAAACAGGAATAACATCTTCCTCATAGGGTTGTTTTGGATAGATAACATACATAAAGTAATATCTGACACATAGCAGGCATTCAAAAATGTGAGCTATTATTTAATGTTAATTTATTTTAATTAAAAAATGTTTAACAGTTTGAAACTCTATTTTTATTTTTTTTTGAAGACTTTATTTATTTGAGAGAGAGAGAGCACAAGCAGGGGAGGGGCAGAGGGAGAGGGAAAAGCAGACTCCCCGCTGAGCAGGGAGCCCAACATGGGGCTCAATCCCAGGACCCCAAGATCATGACCTAAGCCGAAAGCAGACACTTAATGGACTGAGCCACCCAGGCGCCCTGAAATAATTTTAGATTTACAAAAAAACTGCAAAGATAGTATCTTTGCATCACTTAGGATTTTCCTGATGTTAACATCTTATAAAACTAAAAAATTAACATTAAAATAAAACTAAAAAACTAACATTAGTACAATATTATTAACTAAACTATAGACTTTATTCTGATTTCACCAGTTTTTCCACTGATGTTCTTTTTCTATTCCAAGACCAATTCAGGATGCCACACTGCATTTAGACAGATTTTTATTTTTTAAGTGCTTAGTTAATTCTTTGTCTTTCTCACTTAACACTCTGAATTTGTAGAATCAACTACTTATCTCTTTATGTTGTGTTGTCCAGCTGAAAAACAGAATCTGCTTGTATTAACACGATAAAGTAATACCATCTCAATGACCTTAGATACCAAAGTAATCCTTAAGAAAACTACAGAAGCAAAAGAGACTTAAGTATTTTGTTTAGAGTATGTATTCACTAAATGAAAGAACAAATACTTGGAAAATGTATTATTCCTTAAATAAATGACAGGGAAATATAATAGGAGTTAACATTTATTGGGGTGCTCACTCATCTTTATTGCATGTCAAACACGATAAATTGGCTTCAAAGAGGTTAAGTAACCTGCCAAAGATCACACAATTCCACAGTGGCGAAACATGAATCAAGATGCATCATCGAAGGTGCATATCTTGCATCATCTTTTTTTTTTTTTAAGATTTTTTATTTATTTATTTGACAGAGAGAGACACAGCGAGAGAGGGAACACAAGCAGAGGGAGTGGGAGACGGAGAAGCAGGCTTCCCGCCAAGCAGGGAGCCCGATGCGGGGCTCAATCCCAGGACCCCGGGATCATGACCTGAGCCGAAGGCAGACGCTTAACGACTGAGCCACCCAGGTGCCCCTTAAATCCATGCATGTCTTGCATCATCTATTAAAATTACTTCAGTCACACAGATGACATCTCACTATGCAATTAAATATATAATTGAATTGCATCCAACATGGCTTCTCAATTTTTGGAGGCTGAACTAATGAACGAAAAAATCTTACATGTCTTTTTTATTTTAAAAAAATCAATCCAATTCTAAAATTACAGAACAAGAGCTCTGAGCTTCTCCTTGGTCCTTTCTTGGTCATTTGTGCTATTCAAACTATAACCTGCTCTCTCAGTGCAGGAGTCAACAAACTTTTTCGGCATAGGCCAAGTAGTAAATATTTTAGGCTTGTGGAACATATAATCTCTACTGCAACCACTTAGCTCTGTTGTTATAGTGCAAAAGCAGTCACAGATAATACATTAACAAATGAGTATGGCTGTGTCCCAATAAAACTTTACTTGCAAAAAACAGGTGGTGGCCTTGATTTCACTTAGAGGCTGTGCTTTGCTGACCTATCTTAGGGCACTGATAGCATGGAATGAGTTTTGAATACTAAGTGCCATGGCTGAGAGTAAAGAGTGTATCCTTAAGTTTACCTGCAATGACTCTTTACATTATTTTTAAAAATATCTCATGGAACAAATTGGCCGATACACCTGGCCTCAGAAAATTACTCTTAGCATTGAAAAGTAGGTGGTATAGGGGGCGCCTGGGTGGCTCAGTCGTTAAGCGTCTGCCTTCGGCTCAGGTCATGATCTCGGAGTCCTGGGATCGAGCCCCCAATCGGGCTCCCTGCTCCGCGGGGAGTCTGCTTCTCCCTCTGACCCTCCCCCCCCATGCTCGCTCTCTCTCATACTCTCTCTCTCAAATAAATAAATAAAATTAAAAAAAAAAAATCAAATGTTACTCAACCTGGGAAAAGGAGTAAATTCTGACATGCTACAAAATGGATGAAACTTGAGGACATTATGCTAAGTAAAATAAGCCAGTCCCCCAAAGACAAATATTACATAATTCCATTTATGAGGTACCGGGCTCCCTGCTCAGTGGGGAGTCTGCTTCTCCCTCTCCCTCTAACCCTCCCCCCCGCTCGTGCTCTCGTTTGCTCCCTCTCTCAAATGAATAAATAATCTCTTAAAAAAAAAAGTAGGACTATTTTTTCTAATTTAATTTATTTAAGAAAGCTCTACACTCAACATGGTGCTTGAACTCATGACCCCAAGATCAAGAGTCACTTGCTCTTCCAACTGAGCCAACCAGGCACCCCAGGACTATTTTTTTAAAGTAATACAATCTCCTTTAAAAAGTTCTTAATATGATAACAACAAAAAACCATGAAATAAAAACCAAGTTAAGTATTAAACTACCTTAATAAACATTTTGACTGAACCATTTAAAACCTCAATTGAAATTTAAATACTGTAAACAATATGCTATGCTCTGAGCAATAAACTTATTATTCAACTTCATGTTTCTTTCTTTTTTTTTTTTTTTTTACCTGGGAGAGAGAATAGTACCAAGACAGAGGAAGATCAAACACTCTTAGTACTGCTGTCTTCAAGGAAAACTGTGATTCGCTTACTGTTTCTTCTGACATGACTCCTCTTCTAATCTTCATTAAATGAAACATAAAAACATATGAGCCACTAAATGAAAGATACAAATTGAATATTTAACTCTATCAGTTTTTTTCTTTTTGCAGTTAATTATTCATGATATACTTCCCTGAAGAAAATTATGAGCCAAATTTATCTGAGCTAAAAGTTTATTTATTTATTTATTTTTTTTTGAGCAATTCATTCATTCATTTATTCAAAACACTTACTGAGTAAGTACTATGCACAGGGCAATGATCTGGGTACTTGGCATACAGTGGTGAATAAGGCCCTCTAAGCCCTCGAGGAGTTTTTTTTTTTTTTTACCTTACTTTTTTTTTTTTATTCTTATGTTAATCCCCATAAAAGTTTATTTATTAATCACCAAAGCACCCAAAAAGAAAATGAGTTAGATTTGAACCAAGAGTTCAGGTAACACATTTTCCTTAGAACATATCAGGTTCTAGATTCTCTCTTTTCTGGTTAAACATTTTGGCTTTTAAATAGTAATTTAAAACCGATTTCTTCTCACCTATTTCCTACAAGGGAATCTGATTAGAACCAGGACCCCTGGGGCTAGAAAGTAAACTCAGTTCACTGAACTTCAGAACTCAGGGACTTATTCTCCTACTAGCCCATTTTAAAGATCTTCAAAGAAATGCCACATTTATGCTATGAAATTTTAATATTGTTTCAATGCCTATTTCTATTGAAACCAAAGAAAGAGAAGTCAGGTGTCTACAGAGAAAGCAGCTATCTCTCAGAAAGGCCCTTAACGGTAGCAGAACCTTCATAGAAACATGATGGTTCAGGCTCTGGGTCCATGCTTTTCAAAGCCAGAAACTCAATTTTATCTTTGTACCTAGCTGGGCATACACTAAACAAATTCACATAGAATTAATGTATAAATTAGCTTACAAATTTATTCATTTATAATAAGGAAATATACTATCCAGTAAAAGAATACTTATACATGTCATTAAAACATACCCTCTCTAAAATAAAAAACTGTAAGGAGGTAAATTTTAAAAAAAGTTAAAAAGGCTGCCTGGTGAGCACAAAATTAATGGATCCTGAGGAATATTTTATCTAGGCCAGTTAAAAGCCTGAGACAGGTCTCTGGTACACAAAGAGTAGGCTTCTCCAGTAACCAGAATGTTTATGTCTGCCAAATCTAGTATTTCTTTTCTTGAATAGGACCACATAAACATAACTAAAGAGAAAATAAAAATCATTAGCAATCTCTCTATAAAAAGCTTATTGGGCTAGCTATACTTTAAGTCCTTTATTTCTACATATATCTCTCCTCTTTTTGTAGACTCCAACAGACTACCCTTTTCTGTTAATATCTTTTCTTCACACAAGTATCAAAACCACTGATTAAGCAGTTGTTCCCTTTCAAACCAAGCACAGTAATACTTCTTAAGGTGGGTTACTGCTACTGACACTAACCTTATTCCCTACTAGTGACACTCACAGAGTATAAACTTAATCCCCCCCACGCATATTCTAATTACAATGTTCAGGCTCAGTATAATTCTAATTGATGTACATTTATTCCAACCCACAAACCTTGACATAAACATATTACTGAGAAATACAAAGGAATCCATGAAGAAACAATTAAACAAGAGAAAAATGGTCCTCTGGGGAATGAGACTAGGGGTGTAAGGGAGGTCGGGCAAGGAATCACTCCTTTTCATAGGTCTTCTCAAATATTTGATTTTTTAAGCACCTACATTTATCACTTTCTTTTAAATGTTACACTAAAAAAAAAAAAAAGCACACTTATCCTCTCCGCCCCCAAAATTGACAACTGCTTGAGAAATATTTTTAGTAGTTAAATAGATTCTGGATCATTAAGCCATCTATGCTACATTAAAAAAAATAAAATACTGAGTAATTCACCCAAAGTGACTTTCTCCATAATAGAGGGTTCGAATTTTTTAAGCAGAGAAGAAAGAAAATGAAGCAAATATTTCAATTTAAGCTGCCGGGGTTTTCTTAAAAGAGTTCTGACAAATCTCCTTTTTTGCATTCTAACTACCTCATTCCCTTTAACTTAAAATCACTGAGGGAATGACTCCAAACTTAACAATTGAATAATGTAAAAAAGAAAAACCAAACTAATCATTTCAGTTGCTTTCATAAGTATTAAGATGAACACTAAGGCAGTTTAATTATTATTCAAATTTGTAGAGAGACTAAAACATCACCAAAAATACTGTATTATGTAATATTACTCGCTTCTCTCCAGCTAACCACTGCGGAGCTAAAAATGTATGAGAGTTTGTTTCTTAAACAACCTAAAATTCTATTCTACAGCTTGGACTTTATCATTTAAGCAAAAATGGAAGTCTGAAATGCCTAAAAAAATTTGACGTGAAGCCTAAACCCATACAACCGAACTCTGAGAAAAACACAGCAAAAATGCTTTGTTGCAATAATGAAAGAACAATAATAATGAAAGTCTGTGCAAGAGCAAGATCTTCTGGAGTCCTCCCTCCAGAATATAAATGTTGAGCAACTTTATTTACAGAAGGGTCCCAACGCCACAATCCTCCCAATGCTGCATTATTCTCTGAAAGCACCAGCAAAGAAAGCGTAATCTTCCCCCATTCAAAAACCACTCCCTGCTCAAACCACTGGCATTCAAGCAGAAAAATGGACCAACCAGCGGCACCTACCTCCAACAAGACCCCCACCCCCGACCCCCACAGCAGTCTCCTCAGCGGTCTCCCTTCTTTACCAAGGGACCAGAAAAGGGGTCTCCCGCAGGCTCGCCCGCCCAGGCCCTCAGTCAGGCTATGAGCGGTCGGGAGCCCACCCTGATGCAGCGCTGCCCTTGCGGGCCTGCCTCCGGCGTTGGGACTTCCCTTGCTTTCTGTTCCTTCACCTGCACTGGGAATCTTGAGGGCCAAGGCCGGGGCCGCAGCCCGCGCCCCACCACGCCCACCACGCCCACCACGCCCAGTCCCGCTGCCTCGGCCCCGCGGGCGTAGCAACCCCACCCGCCCCAATGCCCGCCCCCTCCACTCTTGTACCTGGTGCTCCAGGCCAGGTGCGGCTGGCCCACGCCTGCTTCCCCGCCGCAGCCCCGCGCTGAGCAGCCGCCTGGCCGCGGGGGCGGAGTCCTTCCGGGGTCAGCAGTGGGAAGGTGGAAAGAATGTTGGCGGGGGCCTTCTAGCCTTTCTGCGTGAGGGGCTACGTGTGAAGCCGCTCCCGCCATTTTTGTTTAGGGCAGGAGATTTCTGCCTTGCCAAATGGATCTAAGGACCACTTAAGAAAAACTGCATTTTTACAATGCTGTTAACTGGTATCGTATTTCGTAGCCTTTTGAGGGATCTAGGACTATTCGGCGAATCTGGTGAAAACTAGGGGACTTTATCGCAGAAAAATGCTCATAGACACGCTCATACATTGTTAAAAGAAAAAAATATATACAGTATATACAAGTTCAGACGCCCCAAACCAATCCATGGATCCCAGATTAAGAACTTCTACTATATATCCGCAGCACTTAAACGAATGAATGTTAAGAGGCATTCTAACCCTGTATTGATGAAGTTATTGATTTCAATTACTCTTTTTTCTCCATGTTTCCCACTGAATTAGAATATGTAAATATAGGCAGGGTATATATACCCTGTTCTAAGGTTCTAACACACAAGTAAACAAATGGGCGGTGGCGGGGGGCGGGGCGGAATGGAGAACGACAACAAAAAAAGATGCTGTTTCCATGTGCAGTCTTCAGCCAAAACATTCCAAAACTGCGGATTTAAAACTTCCAATTGCTGAGCATATTTGTGGTGAAATGTCAAAATAATTTTGTAAGGATAACTAAAACGTGACAGCAGTTTTTACTATTCCTACCTAAGGAACAGGAATGAATAATCATTTCTGTTAGTTTTCAAAATTCCTATTTAGTCAAATGGGAAATAGGGAGGGAGAATGACAATGCTATGTGTGACATTGTTAGATGAATAATAACTGAAAGTGCACAGAATTCTGTGTGAAAATATTTTGCACTTATAAAGTAAATGGTACTGTTGACATCTGAAGAACCTGCAATTTGTAAGTCTGTTTTTTGTTTATTCTCCCAATCTCCTTTCTGCTGCCTCCTCCCTACTTCCCACAACTTCCAAACACTCAACATAACGGGAAGAGCGGTAGTAATTATAACTACCACTTAAAGCAACTTTACTGAGAACATTACCTCTTTTAATTCCACAATAAATGTTATGAAAGAGATATTAGTACATACCCATTATGGATTTTGCTCTTTAACAAGGGAACAAGAAATACCATATTTTCATTACTTTTCTAAATCAATGTAATTTGCTCCAAGTCTCCCTTCTCCTGGGCTGGCAGAGTATTTAATTGCTAAAATTAATGAAGGGAAACCTCACTAAAGTGGACTCAAGATGATATAAGGAGAAGCTGGAACGGAAAGCTTTACCACTCAATGTCAGTTAGGGAAAGAGTCATCAGTCACAGGCCCCAACAGGAAAGATACACATTGCATCTTCCACAAGAAATCGACTACAGCAACCCAGCCAGGGACAAACCATCATCATCCCAAACCCTTGCTTTTCTCCAAGGGACTTTTGTTCAAAACAACCCCTCCCATCTTTCTCCTCCATAAGATAATGTTCTTCTGTGTTTGTTTGACTTGCCTGTGGCTTTGCCATACCTTGCTTGTCTCGAATTGCAATTCTCTGTTATCCCCAAATAAACCTATTTTTGCTGATAAAATAATTGACTTATTTTTAAGGTTAATACACAATCTTAGGGGCACCTGGGTGGCTCAGTCGTTAAGCGTCTGCCTTCGGCTCAGGTCGTGATCCCAGGGTCCTGGGATCAAGCCCCGCATCGGGCTCCTCACTCTGCGGGAAGCCTGCTTCTCCCTCTCCCACTCCCCCTGCTTGTGTGCCCTCTCGCTGTATCTATCTCTGTCAAATGAATAAATAAAATCTTAAAAAAAACCCCACAATCTTAGTTGTTAGTAGGTACATCAGTTAGGATGCTGTTAGCTACCAGAGAAAAGAAAACCAAATAGTGGCTTAAACCATAGGACAGGGTATTCCATATGGATGCAGCATCAGGGAGGCACAGTCTCTTATTTGGATATGATGTCTTTTTTTTTAAGATTTTATTTTTTTTAAATAATCTCTACACCCAACCAACATGGAGCTCGAACTCACAACCTGGAGATCAAGAGTTCTGCACTCTATGGCTGATGCAGCCAGGTACCACTGGATATGATGTCTTATGTTATCCTGGCCCAGGGGAAAAATGGGGCTTGGTTAACTCTAAAGGTCTGTCCCTCACCCAAAGTGAGGGGAATCATTAGTCAACCATCAATGAATTTGTAAGATCCAATATGTATAGTACCAAAATAATGCCGTAGTTTTAGACTGCCCACGTTCAAATCCTTTCTCCACCTCTTACTAGGTGTGTGGTCTTAGGCCAAGTACTTAACATCTTTATGCCTCAGTTTCCTCATTGGGGTGTTAGGAAGATAAATGTAATAGTTCTTGTAAAGCACTAAGATTCTTACGAAAATTTTTAACTTGAGAAGTAACTCCATGGGATCTGAGGATAAAACTTTATTGCCATAAAATTGGTTTCCTTTGTAATCCTATACATTTTGTTTTATGCATGTAGAAATGTTATGTGAGAAAGGGGTCCCTAATTTATCATTTACCAGAATGTCAAAGGGGTGCAAGATACCAAAAAATGGTTAAGAACTTAGAACAATCCTGGCACAAATTTCTAATATGTAGGTCATATTCACTGGGACTTTTCCATCTCCTTTGGCAGAAGCTCCAAAGCTAAAAGAAATACCTGCCGGGGGGCGCCTGGGTGGCTCAGTCGGTTGAGTGTCTGCCCTTGGCTTGGGTCATGATCCCAGAATCCTGGGATCAAGTCCTGCGTCGGGCTCCCTGCTCCTCGGGGGGCCTGCTTCTCCATCTGCCTCTCTCTCTCTCTCTGTCTCTCATGAATAAATAAGTAAAATCTTTAAAAAAAAAAAAGAAAGAAATAGATGCAGGGCTCTTCGGTGGCTCAGTCGGTTAAGCATCTGCCCTTGGCTCAGGTCATGATCTCAGGGTCCTGTGATCCGGCCTGCATCTGGCTCCCTGCTCAGTGGGGAATCTGCTTCTCCCTCTCCCTGTGCCTCTCCCCCCCACTCATGCTCTCTCTCGCTCTCACCTTCTCTCTCTCTTAAATAAATAAATAAATAAAATAAAATCTTAAAAAAAAAGAGAGAGAGAGAGAAATAGATGCCAAGTGTCCTAAGTATTCTTAAAAAGGATGCTAGACCAACCACACAGGGTATGCTAGGAATAACATGAAGCTTTAGCAATCCTCAGTCCTCACAGGCCTCCAGGGAATGATACAGCAGAATTGATCAAAGAAGACTGAAAAATGAAAATGCCTAAGAGACAGTTTTCTGAGTGCTGTGTGTTTTCCTCCCCCTTCCCCAAGAGTGAGGAGAGGAGAGTGCATATCCCATCTTACCCCCACCTCAAGTCAAGTGAAAGAACTTACAGAAACTCAGACAATTTTTTTTAAAGGTTTTATTTATTTATTTGACAGAGAGAGCTCAAGTAGGCAAAGCTGCAGGCAGAGGGAGAGGAAGAAGCAGGCCCCTTGCTGAGCAGAGAGCCCAATGCGGGGCTCGATCCCAGGACCCTGGGATCATGACCTGAGCCAAAGGGAGACGTTTAACTGACTGAGCCACCCACGGGCCACAAACTCAGACCATTTGACTCTGTGCTCTGTAAGTTTATGTCACCTGAAAAGTATAAAGATAATAGACTATTCAAAGAGGTCTTTGATGGCAGAGCAGAGAAAGGGCTGCAGTGGAAGTGGCCTGTATTACAGTTTTGCAAGAAAAATTATCCTGGGGGCCATGTGAATGCCACAGAAGATAGCCAGATTTGAATGACCTTAAGAGGTTATATCTTTGAACCAGGAGCTAAGTGGACTATCCAAATGGTTAACCACAGATTTTTGTCCCCAGTGGTAGGAAATAATACAGTGAGAGGTCCCAGCAGGAGGGGCACTCATTGAGGAACCCACAAAAGGGCCCTTTAAGAAAAAAGCCAGCATTTAGGAATGAGTCACATGCAGAAGGCACCCAAGTCAGATTTAATGCACTGATTGTGTATATCTGACATTTCATTTAGGGTATTTCAGATCACTGCTCACATTAATATATGGCCAATGAACTTCATGAACTATTGGTGGAAACAGCACTTATAAGTGGAAACATTAAGACTGACCAAAATCTAGCACTTTAGTTAAAAACAATTGAATAGATTAATTATTTTAGGTAATTCTTATATGCAATTACTTTTTCCATTAACTGCTAAAACCTGGCAGAGTCCCCAGAAATAACTTGGGGCCTCCTTTTAAATCTATATAATGCCAAAGGGTGTATACTGGCCATTCTATCTTTGTTCTCATTACCCACCCGTAAGTGTTTGGCAGACTCCTCCACAAGTCAGAACTAAGCTGACCAAGGCATTTATAACTCAGACTATTGTTCCAGATGCTAATTTAGAATGTGACTGTATACATCCAAATATTACAGATTCAGTTCCTCAAAATATTAAACAAAGTGATACCATGTGACCCAGCAATTCCATTCCTAGATAATACACAAAAGAAAGTACAAGATACATCCACAAAGAAACTTGTACATGAATGTGCATAGCAACATTATTCATAATACCTAAAAAGTGAAAACAACCCAAATGTCCAACAACTAATGAATGGATAAATAACAAGTAGTATGTCCATATAATGGAATATTATTTGATCATAAAAAAGGAATGGTGTACATGCTACAATGTGAAAACATGCTAAGAAGCCCATTGTAAAAGATATATATATGTATATATAATATGGTTCTCTTTATATGAAATGTCCAATATAGGGAAATCTATAGAGGCAGAAAGTAGGTTAGTGGTTGCCTAGAGCTGGAAAGGTTGTGGGAAAATGGAGATTGCTGTTAAAGGGTCTGTGACTGCTTTTTTGTTTTATTTTGTTTTTTTAAAGATTTTATTTATTTATTTATTTGAGAGGGGGGAATGGGAGGAGCAGAGACAGAGGGACAAGCAGACTCTACACAGAGCACAGAGCCCAACTCAAGGCTCAATCTCATGACCCCGAGC